TGTCCATACTGTTGGCACAGTTGACATTGTGCTTCTGGATTACTGGGTGTCTCCCCCGTCCACTGACATTCACTTCGGCGGTGTCCTGGACCATGGCAGTTAAAACAGATGATCATGTTCACCCCACTGCGTTGCTGCCTAGTCTGCTGACGAGGAGGTTGGGGTGGCTGTTTCATCATTTCTGTCAAGGATGCCATCTTTTCGGTGAGATCATTAGTTTGGTCTTGTAAAGATGAGCTGGGTTGAGTTGCTAAAATTGCATTGCATCTACTCACAGCGCTACCATATCCGACTGACTCCCCTACCCGAGCACTCTGCAGTTGACATTGTGCTTCTGGATTACTGGGTGTCGCCCCCGTCCACTGACATTCACTTCGGCGGTGTCCTGGACCATGGCAGTTAAAACAGATGATCCTGTTCACCTCACTGCGTTGCTGCCTAGTCTGCTGACGAGGAGGTTGGGGTGGCTTTTTCATCATTTCTGTCAAGGATGCCATCTTTTCGGTGAGATCATTAGTTTGGTCTTGTAAAGATGAGCTGGGTTGAGATGCTAAAATTGCATTGCATCTACTCACAGCGCTACCATATCCGACTGACTCCCCTACCCGAGCACTCTGCAGTGCTTCGTCAATGTTGGTAGGCTTCCCTGCCCGAACAAAAAATTGTAGCTCTGTCGGAAGCCCATCGATGAACTTTTTTCTCATCAAATCCAGCGGTGACTTCTGGAGCTTTTTCCCTACTTTTAGTATGTGGAAATAAAACTCCTCAACAGTAGTTTTCAGTTTTAGGCTGTTAAATGCTTCAGTGTCCGCTATGAGAGAGCCATTCATATGGAGAATAAAGGACACATACTTGAGTTTGAATTCTGCTTCAATGCGGTGCCAGGATGATTTTGTCACGACTGGTAAAGAATCGAACCACAGAAAAGCTGGTCCCGCTAAATATAGGGAAAAAGCAGAAACTTTGAGATGATCCTGCGTGATTCCCTGCAAAGTCATAACGGCTTTGAAGTCCGATAAAAATTACTCTCCATCTTCATGCGCAAACCTAGTAAACTTTGAAAGGGTGATGGGAATGATTGGTGACGAAAGAAGTACAGGTGCCCTCGTCAATTCCACGTATGGGGTAGATTGATGCACCAACGGGTGTGGGTGACAGTCATACGTTAGGTTCAATGGGTCCTCCCTAAACATGTGCGAGTTAGGTGCAGGTGTGTTACACAAATCGTCAAGAGATGGTAGAACACGACTAATTTCAGGAGGATTAGTATCGTCTTGATAGTTAGCCATTGTACAGTGGTAAAAAGTTATGTATTATATGTGCATGACGATCAATTTCGATGATACACACCTCGACTGAAAATGGCGGCAAAATGTCAGTCGTTCCTTCCCCAGTGCTTTTCTGTACATGTCACACACTCACGAAATGTCTAATAAGATGTTAACTCACAATCTTCTTCTTTAGATTCTCCACCATGTTATATGTATGGTTACTCGCTTGGCAACATATAATAATGCAAACAATATATTCTCTTGATAAATGACTTCGACTTCAGCACGTTTTACTTCATTTTATTATCGGAACTCTCTAGTCTCAAAATTATACAAATCAAATGTGCACGGTATATATCCGGGTTGCTATGCAATGCCATGGTCAATAATACAACATTAGAACTATAATTGAAATCTTAACCGAAAGTTAGTCATACTTAAATTAATAGACTCCACTGGTCAGAATCGTGCGACCAACCTTTGCATTTCAAACCTGAAAAGAAAGAATGTTTTCATGAACTCTGTGCAGAAACATCGTCTCAAGCTACGGTCCCGAGTCCGTTTACATGTACAGCTCTCTCCTATGGGAAAGGATCGTACATTTTGGCCGTGGTTTGCGACGATGGTGCAGAAAGTGATGAAATTTTCATTCAATAATCAAGACAAAAGTTTATTTAATCATTAAACTACGCTTATACTATATGTAATCAGGTGAATGTCATTAAAGATGGAAAGGAAAGTAAATAAATTAGAAGGAGGGTCATGATAACTACACGTGAGTGATGCTCGAATTTTTAACATTGATTATGAGTATAGGAATAATACTCTTTGTTTTGACCTATCATACAAAGATTTTGGGATTTGTCCGTTTCCAAAATGAAAAATAATCAATATTGAATTTAACAACTACACATGTAACTACGTTTAAATTAAATTAAAATCTTAGTGGTTTGTGATTCTTTTCAACTTTACCAGTTGATATATGTATATGTGTATTTACAAAACTTTGAGGTATAACATTTTAAAACTGGAGTCTTTTTTTTCTCTATTTTTAGTTATCAAAATCAAACATTTCTTTTAATTGAACAAAAGATAAATCTATTGGCTTTATATCTAAATTTCAATATAAATATTTAAATATAATTCGAAATCTTATTTTTTTTAAATGATACGAGTATAATGAAACATTTCTTTTTCCGCTTATATTAATTTCTAGCAAAATTGACTGCATGATATTTATGGAAAACTCAAATTTTATGAATATTTTGTTTTCAAGAGAAATGCATGTCTAGCTACATGTACAATATTTTTTCCCCACTTTTAAAAGAGATATACTTGTGGGATTTTCTTTGGTGTATGTTCTTATACAACATTCAATAGACTACCTTTAAGGTCTTTTAACTTGATGACCTTTTACCTCCTGATTATTAGACCGTGAAATTGTTGAATAACAAACATAATACAAACTCGAATAATCTGTAACTCCTGGATCGATAACAACAAAAAAAAGCACCATTTAAAGACCATTTCTTCGTAAATTCGTTTGTGCAAAAATTCTTATGCAGCGTTGGGAAATATCTGTTTGAGAAGGTGGGGAGATACGGAAATACAGGTAAATATAAAATAACATGTATATCCCGTCGGTGGATCTCGTAGAAATTATAACTGTAACGGGTAATACGCCCATTTAGATATGAATACGGAGTACCATGTTTTGGAAACCTATAGCGTGGAAAATTCAGCTTCAGCTCAAGTAATAATTAAGGGTTACGCCACCTTTCATTTTTGTTAACCCCTTTTTTTCTTAACAAAAGGTTGTTTAGTTATGTCCGTTATGCCTCCTTTATACAAATTTTTATGTATTAGACTGTAAAATAAGTTTTCCTAAACACTGTATGTTTATGTATATCACTCTGTATGCAATACATATAAACTTTTATTTTGAAACCTATAAAACATAATAAGTTTAAAGATTTTGGAATGAAGCTTACTTTAACATAAGTTATAGGATGTAACATACATGTAACTTGAGACAGTTTACGTTTTATAAACTGCAAAGCGGTTTACACAATTAAAGCGTAAACTGTCCAAACGTATGGTATCGTATAACATAAGTTACAATAAGCTTCAATTCTTATAATTCTATTTCAGTGTAGACAATTTTTCCTCCAAAAATGGCTTCAAATAGAACACATTTTCAAAGTGACGTCGAGCGGAGTTATACATTTATGACGTAACGCATTGTGACATAGGCAATTTAATATGATATACGATATAAACTAAAAATTTTATCCAATCAAATGACGTGTATCAACTAAAATTGAATTATTCATAATTTAAATCAATACTAAGAAAAAAAGAAATTGATTGTTACATGTATACTATAATCTTTATCTCGTTTGTACATGTTTATTCATTGCACGGTCGTTTTCACAAAAATCTAACGACTGAGACATTCCTCAACAATTATATATCTTATGATTCGCTGTTATATAGAAGACATTAAAAAAATCCTATATTTCATAAACCATAAGTTACTTACTAAATAGTAAAAAATATTTAAGAAAAAATAAAAATACATGTATCTAACAAACAAAAATTACATGCAGAGATATCAAAGTTTCATCTTTATAACCGTAAGATCGTTTGTGAAAAGGTCCACTGGGAAGTAATACATGTAGTTGTATATAACAATGGAGATCAAATCAACACCACAGGCGATTTTAAAAACGGCTGATAGAAACAAAAGGGTTACACCATCGATACGAAGTAGTGTATATTAGTTTACCAAAAATAGGAAAAAGGTGTGTCGACCCCAGATTTAAAATGAAAAAAAAATGATTTTAAAAAGTGGGGGTCAGTCCCCAAGTGCCTGTGATCAACACACGTACATGAGATGATCCTTCCACGATCAATAAGAAGTACTGAGTACTATGCATGTAATACCATTAATATAAAACTCTCTCTCTCTCTCTCTTTTATTCTCTCTCTCTCTCTTTGTATTTATAGTAGGAATTTTGCTACGAATATTCGTAGATTTCTTGATTTACATATAATAAGATATATTATAAGATATACTGATTATCCATACGACTGTCAGTTCGAAACTTTAAACTTTTGCTGAAATTGAAAATTTGATAAAGTCTTGCACGAGAATGAGTCAGCTGAACTCTAATCGTATACAATCTAGGACGGTGTCATGTTTGCAGAGCTGTTAGTTAATGGAACCTCTTTTTTGTTGGTTGTTTGGCATTAAAACACACATCGAAAAATCCTTGTGTAGGTGAATGTTTGACAGAGAACGCCTGGAAGATTACCCGACATTATATTTTGAATTTCTAAAGGGTGATCGTTGTCTAATGTTATTGGCTAAACTGTCTCATAGGACTTCAAACTTACAGCCGCTTAATTAAATTGGAATGAAGATGTAGGACTTCAGACCTGCAGTCTCTTAATTAAATTCGTATGAATTTATTAATTGTTTTGGTTCTGCTAATGAGTAGTACTGATCTATAGTTGATTAATTAAATGGTTTTCGGGGATTCTTGTTTAGAAGGTAAACATTTTAAACAGTTCAGGGAACGAATTATGTGTAATCAATATTTCTTAATTGTGAATTTATTGACATTTTCAATTTCCTTTCATATCGCTTTCGTAATGTTGATTATGAGTATTCTATTATAGCCTTTATAAAACTGATGTTAATTCACATTTTCTCTTATTAGGTGAAGAACTGGGGCGCCTCAGAAGAAAACATGGCGAACTGCTTCATCAAGTGCTGTCGGGTATTAAAACACGTTCCTGTTCGCATAATATGTTTTTTGGTTATTATCCTCCACTTCAGTGTTGTTGATTACTATCTGGTGGAACATAAAGACAGTACATGGTTGGGCTTCCTCGCAGCTGACGTCATCACCCTGTGCCTGTTTATTGCGTCATTTATTCTATCATATCAGCAACTCAAGGGTTCGAACACTGACACAAAGATAGAGAAAATTGGTATTTGGGTGGGTGTTGCATCTTGGTTTCTATATTCAGTCATTGTAGCGACTAAGTCAGGCATCATTTTTATTGACTTTGCAGATGATCTAGATGAAAAGGATTTTTTTGGTCCGAACACACTGAAAACTGCATTGGCCTTAGCCGGAGTAATATTCCTTCTTCATCTTTCTTCGCTACATGACGCTAAGCCAGGGTCGGAGAGACGAACATACATAGAAGAACTATCAGGAACTGTTATTTTCGACATTTTGGATTGTGTGGATAGTATGGAACCGCTGTTTATCAAAGAAGATCGTGAAGCTTTCCCGCCGGGTCTCGTAGAAGCCATTGTGGCCGTAGCCTGTCTAAATTTTGTCCTACCAACCGTACCTCTTTTGACCCTATCGCATACTAAATTCGGACACGCCAAGCTACCCCGACGTTTGATCATGATACATAAGATTATCCTGGCGTACATTGTCAATCTTCCACTTTTGGTTATGAGAATGATTTTATGGCACGGACTAGATCATGGCGTCTCCATTTTTTCTTTGAAGAATGTGATTGTGATCGCTATGATATCGTATGATTTCTATGAACATCACGAGGCAGATATGGACAACTCGAAGGAAAAGCATAAACAGCACCGAAGGGAGAACGGAGACGAAAGTTTACCAGCGGATGCTTACGGATTGGAAGATCGTTACGACTACAAGTGAACTTTCCTAACAAAAAGAGCAAGACAACTAGGTTCAAAGTTCAAGGTATAAAACGCATACCTGTGTAATGTGGAGATTTTTTGATCCGTGTTGATATAAAAACAGTGAATGAAATCCCTTTTCGACACAAAAAAACCTTCCCTTCTATCCCAAAGAAGCGAAGCATTGAGGATGCTATTGTAAATATGAATCGTTTTTCCATGGAAAAAGTACAACGAAAAAAGTGTTGAGGACCAAATAGTGATAAGTGAGTGTCATTAAATCGTAGGACAGAGAAGTAGAACTTTTACTTGACTAGAGTAAATAATGTTTACGCACTGCCAGTATAGCATCAAGCTCACAAAAGAGTAAAGCTTACTTCAAGCATATGTGTAAACACCGGTTATGTGTTATGGAAATAAAGAAAAGTGAGATTGTCAAAAATAAATAAAAAGAATAAAAGAAAATGATTTTTTATTTTAAAAAATATCTGATTGTTTTAGAGTTATACAGAGATTGATTAGAGAGAGAAGAATTCAAGAATAAAATTTAAAGAAGGTTGCCTGTTAATCGATTTGATTTTTATGTCCAGGTACATTCGAGGGCTTATAATATTCGCCCAGTCCTTCTGCCTGTTTGTCCACAAAAACTTGAACCTTGCCCATAAATTTTGATGAGTTTGAGCTATGGCTTCCATATCTCACCAATGTATTCCTTCTTTGAGTACCAACATATTTAACCTCTTGACCTTGGAGTATGACCCACTTCTGCCAAAAAAAAAAAACTTGGCCATATCTTTTGAATAGTTGGTACTAGGGTTTTAATTCTTCAGAAAGGTATTCATTGTAATAAGATTATGGCATATTTTTTACATTTTGACCATAAATTTTGATTAATTTATTAAAGGAAACCTTTTATCTTGGCCATAATATTTTGTACTAGGGCTTGTACAAGATGTATTTCCCGTGTTATAGCTTTCTTTTTGATAATAACAATTCTGACCTTGATCTTGGAATTTAAAATGCTTTTTGAAAAAATTAAACGTTGGCCATAACTTTTGAAGAGTTGGTGCTAAGTTTTGTATATTTCACATATGTATCTTTTTTGACAAGACATTCCCCTAAATTCCATCAATTTTGACCCTTACGTTGGAGTCTAACCTACTTTAAAAAAAACTTTAACTTTGGTTATTCATGTATCTTTTGAATGGTTCGTGCTTTCATATTCCACAGGTATATTCAAGGCCAATCCTTTCTTTGGCTATTAACATTTGTGATCTCTTGATCTTTAAGTTTTACTTGCATTTGAAAACTTCAACCTATGCCATAAGCTGTTGTATGGAGACGTTTGTGTTTCTCAAAAACATCATGTTTTTAGGTAAAGGTTCATGTATTTGTGATGTTTTTTTTAAATTCTAGAAATAAACAGGTAGATAAGAATGCGTTATAAAGCAAAACTTATGTGTTAAAACGCGTAACTATGGCGTTTTTTCGCAAATGTTTTACGTTTATTTGCAAACGTTTCGCGTTATAACACGAACTTTTTTAAATATACAAAAATGAACTCAATCGGCTTCCATATATAAATGCCAAAGAATAAAAAAAATGAGATGATTTTATGTGCCCAAGAATTTTTCACTGAAAAATGTTTGAGCAGTTAGATTGAAAGGTTTTAGTTTCCGCAGCAAAAATCAATTTCAAATTTAATAGGCGTATCGCATATGCATAATGTTTTACTATGTACCTATTTTATGCCCTCGTAATCGGTGGTATATAGTGTCCGTCTGTCTAGCAAGCTGTCTGTCTGTTTGTTTGTTCGCAAAACTGTAACCTTGCCCATCATATTTGATTTGATTGTTTGGAGCTTTAGCTTTCATATTGCACATGTATATTTCTCGTGACAAGAACATATTTGACCTTGTAGTTTGACTAGATTTTACAAAAATTTACCAAACTTTAAATTGGCTATAATTTTTGTACAGTTACAACAGGATTTCACAAGTGTATTAATTGTGACAAGGCCTTTCATGGATATAATTATGTCTGTCCTATTGACCTTGACCTTAGAGTTTTACCTACTTGAAAACGGTTGGGAAAGAGGTTTTTTTTTACTTGTCAAGAAATTCCAGGGTTGATTTTTTTTTTTGGACAGTATGGCACCCTCTTGAAAAAAAATCTTTGATCTGTGCCTTTACAGACGGGGAAAGAAAAAAGGTCGACATTTCAGCTTTTGACCCTAAGGCCACATGAATTTCAAGTTGGATTTTCGCCCTAGTTTACTTAAAATTGGGACGGCTGGGGATTTTATTTCTGTTTCTGTTCACATCTAATAGTCTTAGCGATCTTTGTACAAAGGGGGAGTAACTTTAAATCTTTTAGCGTGATCGATGTCAACATTTCCAGTTGACTTTTGATAGAAAAAATTATCAAAATTTAACCTTGGCAATCACTTTTAAACAGTTGGGGCTAGGACTTTTATTCTTCACATGTGTATTTCTTGTGCAAAGACCGTTCCTTTGCAGGCGCGGATCCAGAAATTTTTCCCAGGGGGGTCCACACCAGTTCCAAAAAAATCCAACCCATAAAATTCTTGACAAGCAACCCCCCCACCCCTTCTTGACCCGCGCATGCTTTGGTATGACTATGTTTGACATTTTGACCATGAGTTTGATTACTTTTTAAAATTCTTTAACCTTGGCCAAAACTCGTAAACATTTTGTACATATACTAGGGCTTGTAAAAGGTGTATTTCTCCAATCAAGACCTTTTTTTTGTATATCAACAATGACCTTGGCCTTGGACTTTTGAATTCAAAATGTATATCTCTTGTAAAAAGACTTTTCTTGGATTTTGACATTGAAGTTTAATCCACTTTTAAAATAAAACTTTAATTTTGGTCCCAACTTTTGAACGGTTGGTGCTTGATATTTTATATTCTACAGGTATATTCATGGAAGCAAAGTCCTTTCTTTATGTACTAATATTTATGATCTCTTGACCTAGAACTTTGAGTTTTACTTGCATTTGCCTTTTCATAAGCTGTCATAAGCTAAGGATATTTATTTAGTGTTTCTCAAATATATAATGTCTTTAGTTAAATGGACATTTATAATAATGTGGTTATTTTTTAAATAAAAAAAATACTTTTACGATTTTTACCGCAGAAAGTACGCGGTTTTTTTTTTTGGGGGGGGGGGGGGGGCATTTTGTCTTATAACACGGATTTTTTTTTAACCTACGAAAATGAGTTTAATGGGCTTCCGTCTGTAAGTGCCAGGAATGAAGTGAAATCAATTTCTTATTCAAAATAAGCATTATATATTGTTTAACAATTTCACATGAATATTCCTTGTGACAAGACTTTTCTTTCGTTAAAAACATATTAAAACTATAAAATTTAGAATTTGACAAGCTTTTAAAGCCACCAAAATTTTAACTTGGCCATAACAAGTTAGTACCAGGACTTCACGTGTGCATTTATTATAAAAGGCCTTTCATGTATTTGAATATTTTTGACCTATTGACCTTGAATTTAGAGTTTTACCTAACAAAAAAAAAAACGGTGGAAAAAAAGTTGCTTTCTTTTGCTTCTCAAGAAATTCCTGGGTTAAAATTTTTGACTGGGGCGGACTCCCTTTAAAATCTTGAATCTGCGCCTGGTAGTACTTTAAAGTCAATCTCTTGACGTACTGCCCGTAAAAATAAAGAAATTATATAAATTCAAATAAATAAAAAGAGAAATAATAAAGTAAATAAACATATTTTTCTTGGGAGAGGGAAGTAGGTGGGAGGCACAGTACCGTTTAACATCTTTATTTTCTACTTAATATTGCAGTACCCCCGCGATCCTGCTGAAATGTTCCCAAACTCTGTAATTAAGAAACATTACATTTCTCATTTCTGGTACGACATATATAATGCGAGATAACTCGCACTCATGCATTTGTTCAGACATATTCTTCTTATGAAATTCGACTGAGACAATCGGCATTTATTTTCCCTGATGTAGTTCAGAGTTCAACTCAACATTCGGCACACTTCTTCAGCTTGAATCAAACTTGATGTAGGATACAGAAGTCAGCCGAATGCAGCACAACGCCTATAGAATATATACCGAATGATATGTAATATATATATTTATACCCCCCGCTTGAAAAGCGGGAGGGTATATAGTAATCGGTAATTCCGTCCGTCTGTACGTCTGTCCGTCCGTCCGTCCGTCTGTCCGTCCGTCCGTCCTTCCGTCTGTCCGTCCGTCCGTCTGTTACGCTTTTGGGTACCCATCTCTTATCCGCAACTCCTCTCATACCACTGAATGAAATTTGATGAAACTTTCACAGAATCTTTATTACATATTGCCATTGTGCACCTCCTATTTTACTTCTTGATCCGACACATATTTTGGGTTTTCCGGCCACAGCAAAACATGGACTTTGCCATTATAACTATATGGAGGCGGGGGGTATCATTTAGTGAGCTCATCGCTCACAATACCTCTAGTTTTAACTAAAAATAAAGCATCATGATGTAGAATTAATACAATTTAATTGGCCTTTTTCATATTATCATTTATTTTTAAAAAAAATTAAAGAATATTTAACAGTAAAAAATATAATTACTTGTAAAAAATGTTAAAGGAAAAATAAAGACAGTGTCTTCAATTTTAATTCTAAAAACTTGAATTTTTAATAAAATGGGAGATAAATCATGTACCATATGCAAGTTTCTTTTTGTAAAAGTAAACACAAGGACTTTAGTTTTTGGGGAAAATAATAGCGATTGACACATGTGGAATATGAATCGTGGTAAGACGCTATATCTATTTTTTTTTAAATAATACAAATAAAATATGAAGTGACTTATGTATATTAATAGTATTTCATGATTGTAGTACATGTATATATAGTAAATGCATTGAAGAATTTAACTTTAAGAATGGAATGTTTAATATGCGCCCGAATTTATTCGGGGCGTATATTGTTTTTGGTCCTGTCTGTCTGTTTGTCTGTCTGTTGTCAACTT